ATATATAGTAATCCATGCTTGAGATAGAGTTATTATTAATATTCTACTAAATAGCAATATTTTAGCTGGCATTTAACTACTCATTGTTTTTAATGAATACAGCATTGCTTAAAAGCCTTTAAATCTCTCTTCTTGCCTTTTCAATTTAATCTTCACTTCCTGAGAGTTCAAGAATCCTTTCATTTGTCCTCATATCAAATTATTTTGGAATGAAAATATAGGCACCACATTTATTATGAAGTTACTTGATAGTATCTCCATTTTTGCCAATTATCAGTCCAGTTAATGAGTTTGGTATGGAAAAAGGAATGTGAGGTCCAGGAAAGGGATTTACCTCAGATGTGAAATTAATATTGTAGGTAGAAGACGAAGTTCTATTCAGTCTTCTAGCTTCATTCACAATTTCTTCAATCAATTTTTTGGCAAGATCATATCTTTCTTGGGGTCCCTCAACAAAAACATTTCTTATTTAACTTCCAGCCATTTCCTTTTTAGCAACTTAGATCTTAGCACCACTTTACATTTGGAGATTTCTGATAGTTTCACCTCCTTTACCTATAATCAGGCCAACACAATCATTTGGGATAGGGACTATGAATGCCTAAATATATAAGAATCATGAACTATTACTGTAGGACTTGGAGGTCCATAAGGAGTCATCATTGAGTCATCTACTTGAAATGGAAATACTTAATTATTGAGTTCTTCTGCTACTCTCAACTACTCAGTCCTTATTCTATTCCTTTCCTCATCGTTTGCAAATAAAACATTCATTATAGTAGTTTCGGCATCATTTACTTATTTCTCAGAGTCTCCAACTAGCTATAAAAATGAATTATATAATCTTAGCATATACTATGACATGAGAATCCTCAGGATCTTCTTTTACATTATTCTAATTTACTATTGCATGTCCTTAAACGTAATCTCTTATTTGATTTCGACTAAAGCATCTTTGAAATTTAATAATTCTTACTTTCCTCTTATTAGTAACTTACATCCTGTATCTTCTTCTAGTTTCTTTTAATATGTCCCTTTTGGGCCAATGAGCAATCCAACAAAATTTATATGTTAACTTTACGGAATGTAAACTTTCTTTTTGAATTTATTGGGATCATTAAGTAGCTTAGTTATATTAGGATGCAGTCCTGGAGACCAATGATAGTAATAAGGAGTCGTGTTAAGAGCTAAACCCGGATGAGCAGCATAGAGCTTATTTGCTAGCTCTTGCAAATCTGGAGTAAGCTGTTATCCAATTTCACAGGACATTCCAGAACTTTAATGCATATTTTAACTAAAGTTAGCTGGCTTGTCAGACCATTTGCTTTCCCTTTTCCTTCTGTATCTACTTGTATCTTCCCTATTCTTTTGATAAGATGGAGATCTAGATCTATATCTTCTTCTATGAGGGCTTCTGGGTCTTTCTCTTTCTCTATCCCTCTCCTTTTCTCTAGATCTCGATTTGGTTTTAGATTTTGACTTTGACTTGTTTTATCTCTACTCTCTAAATTTTTGATCTCTAGAATTATTATAAACTCTATCCTCTCTATGATCTCTTTAAATTTGATCGTGCTTGAATTCTTACTGTTTATCAAATTTTCTATCTAACTCATATTCCATCTTCAATTATTGGAATTTCTAATTATTTTGTATCTTTGAGTTTTTTAATACTACTAATCAATGCTCAATATTCAACCCTGGGGTTTTGGGGTTTTGGGGTTTTGGGG